CTCATTCCGTTCCACTATATATACGGAATGGGATGAAATTTGGGGGAACGGGACGAGACGAGACGGTACAGGATGGGACGGGGGATTTTTTCTTTTTAAATACTTATATATTTGTATTGAAATTACACGTCTTTAGCTAATAAATTTTAAATTTAATTTTTGATTTTCAAATATCAAAATAAATTTTCAAATTTGAAGTTTCAATTTTCAAATTTCAAGATTCATGTTTTAAATATCAAGTTTCAACTTTAAAGTTTTAAATTTTAAATTTGAGAAGTTTAAATTTGTAATTAAAATATTTTAAAGTAATGTAAATTGTAAACTTTAAATTAAGTATTTTAAAATTAGTTTAGTACTTAAGTATATATTTAATTGTATATATTAAAATTAAAATGCAAAACAATAATTATATAAAAAAATAACTTGAACAATAGTTAAAACCTTCAAATTTATTCAATAGAACTTAGAAGTTACAATAACAAATATTAGTAGAGTAACTAATCTACGCAACCACCTTCTAGGAAGGGTTCTATTTCAATAAGTTCTCATATGTAAAACTAATATTTGTTACAGATATAAGATGAGCAACTAATTTTACGCAGCCACCTTCTAGGAAGGGTTCTGTTTCAATTAGTTCTTGAAAGTAATCTAAAAATATCTGTTTTCTCCTTTAAAATTCAATTCTAATTGTAGCATCATATCTATGGTGATATCCTCCGGTGTTGGCAAACTTGTTAGAAATTCTTGTGCCTCTAATTCATCATCACTGCATTTAATTTGTGTTTTGATCCAACTTGATTGGTTTTTTACTTAACTTTGGCAAATTGTTATTCCTCCTTTCAGCATTGCACCAGTCTCTAAATAAAACTGTTGTTTCCAAATTGTCTTCCGCCAATGAATGTCTATGATCACCAATTTGAAACCTTGCCGCACTGAAAGCAGCCTCCGATGCAACTGATGAAGCTTGAATAGCTAGAACATCACGAACCATTTTGCTCAAAGTTGGAAATGCATCGCTTCGCCTACTCCACCATCCTAATAAATCTTCATTGCTATCTTTGATTTCCAATACTTCTAAAGATTGATTAAAATATTCTTCAAAATATCACGATTAGTAGAATTAAGCCAAAAAAACCTCGCATATAATTTGAAATTGAAAGTGACAAATCAATCTCAACATTAGAAGTTTGACCAACTTCTCCTTGAAAATTTTCCGTAGTTCTCTATTTTTCATACAACAGTTTTGCTTCTACTTTTATGCTAGACTTACACGTGTGACAATTTGAAATTTCTTCTGGTAAAATTTCTAAAGTTTCATAAAAAGTGTCAACAAGGCCTTGCACACCTTGTAATTTATAAGCAGGATGAAGTAAAGTAGCCGTTAAAAAAACTTGAGGAATAGGAAAAAAATATTTTTAAAATTTTTCAATCATACCTTCAATTGCAACTCTAAATTTATCTATTTTTTTATATTTACAAAATTGAATTGAAAGAGTACAAATATTTATTAATATGGATGAAATAGTAGGATAATAAATTCGCGAAAACATGGTAGTAGCATAATAAAAAAGTCTTAAAAATTGTAATAGTTCTTTAATTTTTTCCCAATCTTCATCACAAATTCTATCTAATGGGTCAGCATTATGAGCATAGAAACCATTTGTATGAGTCTTCTATATTTGTAAGCAACCCAAAGCATTTTGTAAAGAGAATTCCACCTTGTTTTAATATGTTTTGGAATTTTTCTAGGTGACAATTCACATAGTAAACAACGCTCATTAAATTCCCTAATTCTAGCAGCATTGTTTGTATGAAAAATCCAGGAAACAACATATTCAACTTTTACGCTACCACAATCAAATAATGAAATACCATCTTGTACAACTAAATTTAATATATGTGCAACACATTTAACATGAAAAACATTATTGTCAATTGGACATAATCTAACTTTTAACATTTTAGCAGCGTTGTATTATTAGATGCATTATCTAATGCGACAACCATTATTTTATCTATAGTCATGTAATAATCTAAAACACTTAAAATATTTGAATCTAAATATGCATCAGTTTTTTTTCTCTATACATAGTTATAACTTATAATTCTTTTTTGCAAATTCCAATTATGATCAATCCAAGGTGCAGTAATAGTTAAATAATCATTTCCATTAACACTACGACCCATGTCCGAAGTTATAGACACTCTACTATCTAATATGCTAAATATACAACGGAAAAATTGACGATGTTTACCTTGAAATTCAAAAACGTCAGATTTAACAGTATTTCTTGAAAAGCCTCTATAATCCGGATTATAAGTTTGTTGAATATATTCAATAAAATCGGGATTTGAAGGAAAACTATAAGACAAACCACAAACAGAAATCATTTTAGCTAAATTTTCCCGATCTAATTCTTTATTATATTTACGTTGTGTTATTGGACCAGCGGGGCTAAAAGGATCTAATGTTCCTTGAACCATGTTAGAAGCCCCTATCAATGCATTACCGGTAATATCTAATTCATTAATTGAAATTCCCTTTTTTCTATTGGCTAATGCTTTAACTTCTTTATATTGAATCGACACACAAGATAATAGATGTCTATTTAATCACCCCGTTCCACCTTGACCCCCACCTTGTTTATGTTTAAAAAGTTGCTTACACTTATTAAAAATAGCAACACTATTTTCTTTATCGAAAGTCATAAATTGCAACACAATAGAAGTTTTAGGTCGTTGATACTTCACCTTCTCCCTTGTGGGAGGTATAAGGGGTGGATGTCCAAAATTTTGCTCCGGTAAATTGATAGTCTCATTTGGAACTTCTGTCACCGGACTAGTAGGTGTTTCTTCTAACTCTTCTCCTCCCAAATCAACTTCTACTTCTTCACCTGAATTTCCATCAACATTAGGATTAATATTACCATAACGTCGTTTTAAACTTTCGTGATCGAGTTGAATATTTGAATCAATATCATAAGGAGAATCATCAACAAGTAGAATCATTTATGTTAAATCTAACTCTACTCGTTGATTTAGATGAAGTACCACCACTTTTACTACTCTTTTTTTCTTTACTATTTTTTTTAACCAAAATTAAATAATTTAAAAAGTCTACTTTCTTCGTCATCTAGTGCTTTCTGTTTTTTCCTTTACCACTATTTTTTTTGCTAGAACTCATACTTAATTATATATAAAGTGTAATATAAAAATAATAATAACACAAAAATAAAGACGAAAAATAAAATATAAATATTATGAAACGAATGTACCAAACGTCTGCGTTAATAACAGACGTTAAACCGATTGTTGAAGCTTGTGGTTTATTGTAACTTTTAATTTGAAACTCTAACCAATACTTGATAACAAATATGAGATAATATAATTATGTTTATTGATATAATATGAAAATTTCAAATTGAAAATTGAAATATATGGATTCTAATAATATGAGAATTAAAATGGAATAGAAATTAAGATTGACATTTGAGAGTTGAGAGGATATAGAAAATAGATGAGAGAAATGAGAATAGATGATTTTGTAAGAAATAGTAGGGAATAGGTGTATTTATAATATTAAAAATGGGTTAAAATGTAATTATTATAATTTGAGGGTTTAAAATAAAATTTTAAAAGTAGGGGGGTGGTAAAGGATGGTAGGGGGTGTTTGGGAACACAAAAAGGGGCAAAAATCCATTTGGGGAGGGGGGGGGGGGGCACTAGCCGTTTCCCTAAAAAAGAAAAAGAGGGGATCCTGCGAACCGGCCGGCTCAACCGGGCCAAGTCGACCGGGACGCAAAGGTGAATCGGCCCCTGACCGATCCCCTCATCCTCCACCCCTTAAACCCCCTAAACCCTAGGGGACGGGACAAGTTCGAAACGGGGCGGATCGAGACGCGGAACATCCCGTTCTCCCTGCCACCCCAAGTTGACGTATACCTGTTTGATGAATATTTGGTTCATAACTAAAGACGTCTATTTGGTTTCAAGTTTGGATAGGGCTTTGTTTGCTATTTCACCATTTATCTATAATAAAATAAAGTAATTACAAGGAAAGATGTAATCAAGGATATAATGATCTTTTAGTTGTGTTATCCAAGTGTTGCTAGTGTTAAATTTTCATAATGTACAAGTCATTGTGCTTTGAGGTGGTTATAGTTTGAATAAAAATGGACCAAAAATGAAAAATTAATCAATCCGATAGTTTTTTTTGGATTTTAAAAAATTGATAATATTTTATTTGGTTTTATTACAAAAAAGTTCAAACCAAATTGATAAATTGTATACGTAAATTTTAGAATGTTATATAGTTATAACTAATTTCCATGATAAAATTATTTATAATAGACTAATGAACTTTATACACTTCAACTATTTCTTAAAAGAAATATTTAGTCAAAGAAATAACTAGTATAAGATTTATCAAAAATAAAATGAAATTGTATGTTATTCACTTAATTAAAACTTAAAAGAGTTTTAAAAATTTCTTCATAATCCAAGAGAATTATAGCTCCTATAATAGAAGGGTAACGGATAATAATTTTGAAAAGAATAAAAAAAGGATTTTCCTAACCGTAGAAAGGGAAGAGGGAACCGAAGATAGAAATAACTAATCAATGAATGTGTTGTATTAATTTAATTTTAATTTTGATTTTAATAAAAAAATTCTAACTTAAAACCGACCCGTAAGCACTCCCAATTGTAGTACCAAACAGTTTTGGTATTGCATATATCTAAAACAGAATTAATTTAAATGTGTGGAATAAAATAATTTCGAATTTTATACACGATTAATTCAAATAATTAATTCTGTCATTGAAATTACAACACGGTAGTAAAAGGAATTAACCAAGAACAAAAAATAATTTGTATGTTAATTCATCATGGTTACTGATGGGTGTGTTTTTACATGAGAAAATACTTCATTTCAAATCTCTTTGGTATAAAAATAAAGATTACTCAGTAAAAAGGTAATAAAACTATAGATAATTATAGCCATGGAGGTGAGATCACTATGAAATTAATAAAAGTATATATATCATTTTCAGAGTTCTTATTGCCAAAATGTACCCAGCCACCGTTACCCCATCTTACATTCGTAATGTTTTGTTAAATTAACGTATAAATATATTTTAGATAATCTTTTATTCATAAATTTATCAAACACTAGGTTTTTTTTAATAAAAAAAACTCATTTAATTTATAATAATAATAAAAATTTTTAAAAAAAACTGTTTCCGCAGAAAATATTTGGCTAATGCATAAACGTGCTTATATTTACTTGATTTTAACTAGCATCTATTCTCTCCAAACTTCTAGTGTTTATAAGTACATACTTAAATGAACTTGTACAAAGTTATGCAAATATACCTATGCATTCCATGTACATTCTATGTGACATTCAACGTGTATTATTTTATCACATGTCGAACGTAGTTAATGTTTAGTATAATTGATTATTTCAAACTTAAAGTCATATCGGAGAAAGTAACATTTAATCTTGATTTACTACGTATTACCAACATTGACCTTGTTTATATAATAATAAATAAAATAAAATAAAAAAATTGTAAAAATAAACATATAATATAATGTACAAGTCCCAAATTCTTTTACCATTAACCATAGCGGTTACTTAACCGCTCTGCAATAACTCTGCACTTGGTTTTTTCCTTGCTCTTTTTCAGTTTGTGCGTTTGACACTAATGTCTCTCCATATCCATGTTGCTTCCCTGCTTTTACTATTATCACCATTTCCCCAAATAATTTCAGGTATCGATTTAGATTTAACTTATATACAGTGACATGACTATGAATTGAATTTAACTTATATTACGTCAAGGGTGGAGATAGAAGTCATGGGTTCCGCAGAACACATTAACTTGTGCTTAAACGGTGTATTTGTGTAAAGAAATTCATTAAATATATGATCGTATTAACATCCACAACTCATAAAGTTGAATACATTGATAGTGTAATCTTTTTGAGAGCATGTGAAATGGTTTTACATTGTTTTCCTCCTTTTTGTCATTTGATCTTGCTGTTGAATTTTTGTCCTCATTGTAATCTTAGATGCATCAAACATAGCTCACAAAAATAAATGCTTTAAATACGAGAGATTGTAACGTTCAATGTTCTAAAATCTCGTGAATTTTTTACATTTGTTTTCATTAGGTCAAGAATCTTTCAAGAAAGTTGTATATAAGCTCAGTAAGCCACTAATCAGTGATGATGGGAAGGTTTATTTGTGTTCAGAAAAGAAATTTTTTGCCTTTGAAAGCAATGGTTCTGTCGCATGGACGTTATCTCTCAGTTACAGATGCAGTTCAAGCATAGCTCCAGTTCAAGGAGAATCACGAAAGGCAAGGCTTCACTTTAAAACTGAATCTGATAAATAGACCGTCATATGAGCAATTAGACTTTGACATTCTAATCATGTGAACTGTCAAGTGTATAATACTTTAAAACAAATAAGCTATAGGCGATGTTACGTATAAGCAAATGATCTGTTAGGCCTGTATAAGTTTTCTATAAAAATGCTATCATACTGTTTGTTTCTCCCTCTAGGGATGAAGCAAAGAGTGGATGTCATGCCTGTAAGGTTCAACATTCCTCTATTCTGGAGTTGTTAACCTCAGACTTTGGCAATGTCTGTATGAAAATGCATATAAGCCTCTGATTGTCGTTAACTCATTTTCAATCAGACTTTTTTGGTCATTATGTGTTAAACTTCCTCATTCATGTACCCTTGTTTGTTCAATTAGTTGGTATTAAGTCTTTTAGTAGTTGTGGTTGGCTCTTAATAATGCAAAGCTACTTTTGGTAGATATATGTGCTTGCAGAAGATAGAGTGCTGAAGATCAACCCGTTGAACGTAGGAAGTTCTGAAACAGCTGTAGAATTGTTCTTTGGTTCGGAATATGAAAGAGTAGGGGATATTGTTGGCCTTGCAGTAAGTATATCCAGTTCCTGTGTACTTATCAATGTCAAAAACCGGGGTCTCTTTGCTTACCGGTTGCAAGGAAAACTGTACTGGAGTGTTGGCCCGGTGCTTTATCAGCATGGATATCGTCAAGGTTGTAGGAAAAATATAACAGAATGTTATTTTTCCTCAGTCCCCGTGATCGATCACTGTGAAGCTAGCATATATGTAAGGTTTTCGTATTCCAAGCTTTTTAATCTTGTCCTTTGCACTAAGCTCTATCTTGCATTTTCAAAACCATTTTTTTTTCAACTGCAGATTTCTAACAATCAAGGAGAAATTTATGCTTTGTCAACTCGTAGTCCACATTTCAAATGGATACAAGATTTCAGTTCATTCGGAAGCACACTTACCATGAAAGCGGGGAACAACGGTCTGTTGTATGTTACTGAAGCAACTAAAGCTCTGATTCTAGCAGTTGATGTTTCCAGGGGAAGCATTTTGTGGCAGAAAAGCTTTGGACCGCTAAGTATGGAAGATTATGCCCCTGCTGTTGATTTTAATGGTAATATTAGTCCTTACCATATATCACAAACTTCTACTTGAATCGAGCGTTCAAAGGTTCATGTTTATTTCAAATTCAATTCCAGGTTGGATATCTATTGGTTCATTGGACGGATACCTCTATTCCTTTTCACCAAAAGGAGTTCTCAAAAAGTTCCCTATAGTTCTTAACATGCATTCTGTTATCCAAGTCAGTCCTGTTCTTGATTGCTCAGGGTATGCAATCTATGCTTCTCAGACACAGACTGAAGGAAAGGTTACTAGGATTATTGGAGATTACACTTACATCTCCGCGATGAAACCAAAAGGTGTTATCTTCACACTGACTAATCCAGCTACTGGTATCATCTTTTGGTCTGAACAATATCCTGGTAACTACCCCGTCCTTCCCCTAGACCCGAAATCTAGTTCTCTGCAGCATCAATGGATAAATCTAGTTCTCTGCAGCATTCTAACATGCATCCATTATTTACTATTGCGTCAGGTCGATTCTCCTTGGAACTTTTGAAAAGTGACCTGCAATATTTTCTTCTAGATGAAAGTATCCTACTTGCATTTTTTGCTGCTTCAAGTGAGTTTCTTCACAATTACCAATGTTCTGTGTTTACATTGGACATATGATGTCTTAATAGGACTCAATTATCTCATTTGATTGAATAAAACAAATTTCCATTTCTGGAGTTACATATAGAAGCCTAAAGAGGTTTCCATCTGCAACTCATTTGTGCTTAATGTATAGCTAATGGAGAAGGATTTCTGTCCAGGTACTGGGAACCGGCTGCCATGCCGAAGCTCAAGTAAAATTCTGTACCTTCTATATTTTTTTTTATCTTAGATTGTAGCTAGACAATCACGATAAATTACCTAGCATCGTCTCGTGTCAGATGTCACATAATTCTTTTGCATCAGGTCAGAAGTTTGCATTAAGCTGCTCACAGGTTACGCCCGAAAATTTCAGTACCTACACAGGTAACATCCTACATTTGTGTAGTGATATAGATAACCAATTGATAAACCAGAATAATTCCCTTCTTTTTCTTCAGGGAACAAGAAGACAATTTTGCTGTTTCTGATCTTCGAATCTATCATATTGCTAGTACTAGCAATAACAGTAAGATTTTGCTACATGTTTTGGAAGAAAAAGAAGCTTCAAAATCAACATCTTGGGAAATTCTTGGATAAAAGAGTGAGCTGAGCTATATTCCCACTCGCTTTTCACCTTTATGTCTTCTCTTATATGAAATCTGATATTTAAGCTGGAGGCCGCATTTTGTGGATTCAGCTTCTCTCTATGTGCTTCCCCACAAGTTCCTTATCTACTGTACGAAGAATCTTAATTTTACCCTTCACTATGCTTTGGAGACATTCATACTCTAGCTGTCAACATATTTTCTCGTATTTTACCTTGGCTTTGGCGGAGCTCAGCTCCAGTCTAAAGTTACCCCTATTATACTTCATGTTACAAGATGATTTGTTGACAACAAGAGTATGAATGACCTCGACATATAATGGAGAGAGCATAAGTAAGGTATTTCGTATAGTAAAAAGGTATTCCTGAACCTTTTTCCTTTCTTTTGTTCTGTTACTCCCCGTTCTACCGAAACACTGAAACTTGAACTTGTCTTTTTTCTTTTGGTCCAATGTTTCAGCGATCACTTCGACTTCAGAAGAAAGTTTTTGATAGATCAATCACAGAGCTTCAACAAAAGGCTGCTGAGGAAGCAATAGCTAATGATATGCTGGAAAAGATGGGCAATCTAGTTAAACAAAGGGAAAACATAGAGAGGAAGCTCTCAACATCATACAGTTTGGGAAGGGATGAAATTGGTTCTCATTCACCATCTCTCCTTCCTTTGTCCGATCGTAAAACAAGGAGTTTCTCATTTCAAGGAGCAAAGAAAGAGAGTATTACTTTGTTTCATACAGTCAGTGATACTTCTTCTGAAACTAGCTGGAGTGAATGGGACTCTGACACGAACATATCGGAGGATGAAGATGAAATAGACAAGGGAAAGTCGCCTATTGAAATATTCAGTAGCAGTGATGATGAGATTTACCAAGAAGAATATCAGTCTACTACTCCATCTTCCTTTGCTTCCACTTCACGACAGGTTAATGAAATAGAGGAAATGAAACCAGGAGATCAAGAGGACTCCGTTGATCATCCCTTACAGAACCGCATAAGGAAGAGGAAATCATATTGAAGTAGCTAGGTATTGCATTATGTGTGTTAGTTATCCAACTGTACCTTTGTCCAACTTTTGTCCATTACTGACGCCTAACTGGACAAAAAGCTTTCTATTTTAATGGATTGCATAAGCTTAAGTTAATTGACGAGTTTCAATAGCAGCAGAAGCACGAAAAGAAAAAAAGGAGTCGGAAGCTTAGATGGTCACTCAACGTTATTAAGGAAGATTTCATCTGGTGTAGCTAGATAACACATATTTTACATCCATGTCCTATAAACTAGTAAATTCAGAATAGTACATGCATACAGGTAATAATATGCCATTTCTCAAGCCAAGACAATATTTCATTAATCATAAACAGCACTACGGTATAAAATGCATCATCTTGTATTCATTGTAAGATAGAAGAATAAGGAGTAATAAGGTTACCTTCTTAACAAATACATATGAGTGAGTTGTGCTCAAGTGATGGAAGTGTATAAAAAGACATGGAAAGACGTGTGCATTGACTTGAGTAAACAACGGATTATCTAATTCTCATTGTAGCAGTTGGATTAACATGGAAAAACTTACATATACTTGGTGTTTACATCAAATTGTACAAATTTACCATAATTAAGTGATAAATTAATGTAAAAAAGACATGCATTCACTGGTTGCTTCTTGTCTAATAGGATGCATTCAATACACTATCTTAATCTATCCCACAACATGTTGACAAGTATTGACCTGACTACCTCTAATTACTATTGATTTACGGTCCAATTTTCTTCAAGGCACGCTACCAATACCACCACCATCTGTAGAATTGTTCTTCATTTCAAATAATAATCTCACTGGGAGATCCCTTCGTCAACAATTTGAAGGGTGCAATTCCACTATGTTTGGGTAACACGAGTGACCAGCTCGAGGTTTTGGATTTGCAACACATCAGTCTTTCCGGGAATCTTCATACAACTTTTAGCTTCGGAAGTAGACTGAAAAGCCTCGACTTGTCTTTGTACACCACTATGGATCTTTCAAGTAACAAATTTGAAGGGCATATTCCTAGTATGATGGGAGATCTCATCGCACTACATGTGTTGAAGTTATCTCACAGTGGGTTGCAGGATTATATACCACCATCACTTGGAAAATTATCTTCGAATCATTGGACCTTTCATCCAACAAGCTTTAGGGAGAGATACCAAAACAACTTGTTTCTCTGACGTCTCTTGCAGTTTTAAATCTCTCGTACAATCATCTTGAAGGATGCATTCCAAAAGGAAATCAATTTGATACATTTGAAAAAAAAATATTGCATGAAGGTAATGACAGATTGGGTGGATTCCCAGTTTCAGGAGGTTGTGGAAGTAACTGGACATTCGAGACAAACAACACAACATTTGTGCTGGATGAAGCAAGTGATTTGACATTTCTAAGTGAGCTCAGTTGGAAAGTATTTATTATGGGATATGGTTGTGGATTGATCATTGGATTTTCCATAGCATATGTCATGCTTTCTTCTTGAAATCCAAGTTGGCTTTCAGGGATTGCTGATGATTTAGAATACAGAATAATTATGAGAAGGCGAAGAAGAAGAAGAATTAATGGCATCTAGACATGTTCCCAGTCGCATGATATAATGTCAAATCCTTCAGGTATATATATATATATATATATATATTCATATTTAGCTCTTTAATGATTCTGTTTTAGTTGATCCGAATGGTATTACATTATATTATATCTTCTAAATATTCTTGTTATATTAGATAAGTGAATGATTTCATGAAAAATAGACATTACACTATTCTTATCTAATCTTATGAAGAAACCATTGTCCCAATAGGGATATCTCAGTAATCAAAATATTATTATAATTCAAAATGTGTTATCATGATCTGAAATTCCAAAGACCATTTCCCTTGTTATGTTAAAGAAAATAACAAAACAATTAGCCAGTGCCAATGACAGATCTAGCTTGTGTTTCCATTGATTCATTTCGATATAAATGTGTAAGAATTGAGATAATTGTTCTGTATCTAACTCTTTCCTTTTAACCTTTTGTGAAATAAATGTAGGCATGCAATGACTTGGGAGATGTAAATGGACAAAGAGGGTGTCTAGCTGAAATATCAAGAACTAGAGTGACTGTGTGAATTGTATTTCACGTTTACAACAGTCAGTATAGAGTTGTCTGTAGTTGATGAATATTTTGGGGCCTTGTCTTGTCAAAGTTCATCTCTACCATATCTAATACTAAGTGCAGACTCTTAAAGATAACTGGTTAAATTAGCTTCTTCATTTTAACCAAGTTCTATCAAAATGTATGTTGTGTGTCGCGTCTTGGGTCATACTAAGAGAGAGACCTCGTTTGGAAGTGATATAGATAAAATTGTTTTCGCCATTGCATAATCTACCACACTGGTAGACATTGGTTATATTATTGAACAGATCAAGGACTATTCGTCTGTGCAATGGAAATAGGAGCAACAACATTGATCCATACATTAAAAACCTCAATTAAGGTTCAATTTCATTTTCACACGAAACAGTACGAGAGCTATGAAACACCATGTGGCTGCAATAATAATAAATGTCAATAACTAAACGAGGGTTCTATCATATATTCCACAAATACAATATATACATGTTCATTGAATCAAAAGCAGAGATAATTTAATAGCTAAGAAGCCCGTAAATACAGCAAGGATGTGAGGAAATTACAAAGTTGCATATATTTACATTTGATGAAAGCAATCTTGTATACGGTAGAATAGTTGAGGTGTGCACCTTATTATTGTTGTTGCATCCTTAAATACTCGCCATAGAAGCGAGCATTACTTTCTTCTTGACTAGCATCGTAGGCATAACCTCCGTGACTAGAGATATCAAGACCAGCAACCTCCTCGTCCGATGATATCCTCAAAATTCCAAGTTTCTGAAGTAGATAAAACAAAGGTCCCATTGTCAAACTTACCCAAACCACAATACTCAATAGTTCAACTATTTGTGCCCCAAACAAACCCCATCCACCTCCTAAAATCAGGCCGGAAGGTCGTATAATTTGTGTTTTACCGGAATTATAAGCTTGTAACACAAATTCTTCTTTAGCAAACAACCCTGTAAATATCAAACCCCAAGCTCCACACCCTCCATGTAACTGTGCTGCTTCTAACGGATCATCGAATTTGAATTTAAGCGCTAAAATGTTCAATCCTATCAGTACCCAAGCTGCACAGAACCCACACAAAATTGCAGCCCATGGTTCTACCACTGAACAACCTGAAGTGATTGCAACAAACCCACCAAGAACTCCATTACAAACATCCATTGCATCCCAATGTCCCACCAATAACCTTCGTCCAAACAAGGTAACAATCCCCGCGGTTGAACCAGCCAGGGTAGTCGTGACAGCAGTCCGTCCCACAGAGGTCCAGTTACCTTGATCAGCCATATGTGGGTAGGCAACAAGAATTTTGTTGAATGATCCAGGATTAAACCCGAACCATCCAAACCACAACAACAATGTTCCAAGCACTACTAGAGTAGCATTATGTCCTCTCATTTTGACAGGATTACCAAAGGCATCAAACCGTCCAACTCTTGGACCTTCTACAATAGAACCCCAAAAACCAGCAATCCCACCAACCAAATGCACAACACCACTACCGGCAAAGTCAATAGCACCAGAACCAAAAAGAAGATAAGTTGAATTTGGACTTAACCAACCATTAGAAGACCAAAGCCAATGAGCAACAACAGGATAAACAAATCCAGTAAGGAAAAAAGAGAAGACAAGATAAGCAGTAAATTGAGTACGTTCAGCAATAGAACCACTAGTAATTCCAGCAACAGCAATAGCAAAAGCCCATTGATAAAGAAAGAAACTGTAGTCATAAGAGCTAGAAGGAATGTCTTTAAGAGCAAAATAACTAGCACCTATAAATGGATTTGAATCGCCAAAAGCAAAAGCAAAACCAAAAAGATAGTATGAAAGACTACCAACAACAGCATCAACTACATTTGTAAGCATAATGTTCATTGCATTCTTTGCCCTAACAGAACCAGCACAAAGCATGGCAAAACCCAATTGCATTACAAAAACCAAGTAAGCAGAGAATAAAAGGTAAATTGCATTTATGGAATCAGTTACACTAGCTTCCCATGAAGAATCCATTATTGCTATTTGCTTGCTTCACACAACATTCACATAATAGGATATTTATTTAAAAAACAGGTGAACTGGAATGGTCCACGAAACTTATTTGATAACTGAGTCAGGTAGTATCCAGGGGTTTATACATAGATTAAAGTTTTTCATCTTTTTTTTTGTACGAGTAGATATTGAATCCTTTTTTTCGTGTGTCTATTTCTTCGTATTGTGAATTTTTTAGTGTGAAAAATCTGATTCCGCCACCACAGAGTATATCGTGAACAAGTTGTTTTGACAAGTTATTGATTTTCAGTCACTGAAGTAGTTTTGGTTTGGATAACATGAAATTGGGTGGTTGATCTGTTGATAACAAGGATATCAACAAAGCTGGACAACTTGCTTCTTTGACACCATACAAATGAATGAGTAAATCGTTATATTAGTACGTGAATCAATAACTATAAAGTCTTCTTTTTATATTAATTTAACATTAAATTTTTTTGTTTTATTCATATTCAATTGAAATTTGTCCTTAGCAAAAAGAACTATACAAATCTATGTTACATTCTTTTTATATATATATAAATATTTATATTGATGTGAAGTCCATTATATAGATTTTATTCCCATTAGTTTTCCATTACGTTAATATATGTAACTCCCACTAATTATATTCAAATAAGATTTTTACTTTTACTTTTTATCTTCATCCATGATGTCAAATGAATTCGTGTCATATTCATGACAATTCTTTGTGTGTCTCAATCATATTGTGTAAATGGTGATATTTGACATAATATCATATATACTTAAAACAGTTGGAAAAAAAAATCTATATGGCTCTCTTCTCTAGTCTCTTTTTATTTATTTTGTTTAATGTTTATATTTTTTTTAAAAAGAAAATCTATATGCTCTCTTCTCTAGTCTCTTTTTATTTATTTTGTTTAATGTTTATGTTTTCAGTTTGTTGTTATTGTACGACTTTCTGTTCCTACTGTGTTATTGTTGTTTCTTTTCTTTTATTATTATCATTATTATTGAGGATTTACAAATTTGTTGATTTGTATACATTAGCTAGCATGTGGTATTTAAGTATATAGCCTCATTTGAATACTGTATTTCTACAATAATTATCTATTTTTACTTTATGTATTTTTAGAAATTTTATAATTAAAATATATTTTTTTTATAG